AATAAAATTTTTTCTGATTTTGTAAGAAATTTTGATTAAATTTAATAAAGATAAGAGCAAGGTCTCACCATTAACATAAAAAAAAAAAATTAAAAATAATGAAATATTAAACTTTAATAAAACTATTACCACCCTTATCTACAAAAAAATACCAATATCAGTTAAAAGCAATATAGCTTTCATATTAATTTGTTGAATATTGACTAACAATTTATTATCTTTTACATATATTAAATTTTTCAGCTTACTATTTGCATTAGATTCAACACTTCAATTTTTTTTTTTTTTTTTACCTTTATTATGAAAAATAAACACCCAATTAAACAGCTTGGTACTTTTCTTTTTTTAGAAGTCTTACAGATTTATGATGCCATTATACAAACAATAATTCTAGTTATTTTCAATTTTATAAAATTTATAAAAAAATATAAATACTTTTAACTCACATTTTTGTTTTCTATCCTGTATCAAAGCAAAAAAAAAAATATTATCAAATAAGCAAAAATCAAAAATACCTATACCTTCCTCATTATATACTTCTAAAAAACAAGAATTACTAGGCTCTTCTATATTAGCTTATACTTCTAATCCAAATACACTAAATGAAACACGTGTGAGAAGACAAAACTTTAGCTCTTGTGTAGAAATATTTTCAATATCAAAAAACTAAATCAAATAAACATTATTCAGCAAAGTGTGATTATTTCTCAACTAAATGGTCAAGAGGTAAACCAATAAAGCTCGAAGCTCATTTTGCATTTAAGTGCTCTCATGTTGAAGAGCATGTTTAGCAATTTTATCTACTTAATGTAGCCTGTCGTGATAACTTGAAAGAGCAACCTGAATATTTAATTAATTCAAAAAGACAAAAATTAAATAATCAGCATGGTCTTACAAACTTTTTTCAACAAAAAACTGTAGGTAGTTTGTCTAAGAAATGAATTAATACTATAAGTGTTGCATTAGTAAAAGCTTTTGTAATGTGCGGTATTTCATTTTCTGTGATTGAAAACCTATTTTTTATCAACTTGCTTCAAACTTTATGCCCAGAATATCAACTACCATCAAGAGAAGTTTTAGCAGGACCAGGAGTACTCTAACGTTGTGATTAAATGTGAGACTATTTTCTGTGAATCAAATAATCTAACTATTGGTATATCATATTTTATTGTTAAATTATATTTTATATCTTTTACTAAATTACTCTATATTCTTTATAGCATTGGATAGGTAGATGTCATCTAATGGAAACTCTATATATTGTTTTGTTATTTTAACACTAATATACAATAAGTTTTTATATTCATTATATGATTTTTCTACAAATTCTTATATGGATGAATTTCTTGCAAAGAAAATTGACACTGTTCTGGGTGAAATTGGATATGATAAAATTATGGCAATTGTTACAGATAATGCTAGTAATATGAAGCTTGCTCGACAAATTATTAATGAAAAACATCCAAAAATTTTAAATTTAAACTGTATTGCACATTGTATTAATTTTGTATCTAAAAATATACTTAGTAAGTATTAAAAAAGGTTGGTTTATTATTATAAAATTTTATAATCTAATCATTAATATATTATTTTTAGAGTATAAATTTGCTTTATGTCTTATAAAAGGGTATAATAAAATTATAAAATATTTTAAAAAATCATATCAACTGAATGCATATTTGCAACAAGCAATTCAAGAGTTAAATATTCCTAGTAGTGAATTAAGAAAATTTGTAGATACAAGGTGGACTTCGGCATATAAATATACATTATCCATTAGCCAACTTGAATGTGCATTTATTAAAGTAATATATTATTCTATCAATTAATGTATTTTATATTAATGAGTAACTAACTATGTACTATATATATACTTATATATAGATTATAAATGAGAATCGAAATTTAAATACAAATCAGACCGTTAAACAAATTCTAAGGCAACAATATTTTTTTCAAACCTTAAAATATTAGTTAAAGTTTTATCTCCAATTTGAACTGCTATTATAAACCTAGAAGCTCAATCAACAACACTAGCAAATTGCTTTATGCAATTCATTAGTTTAGCGGCTGCTATTAAAAGACTATCATATCTACCGATTTGGTTTAACCCAAAATTAGCCAATTATAATTAAAAATTATTTGGTATTAAAATTTATTACAAGGTGAGTTTTTACAAAAATAGTTTTTTAAACTTACTTTAAAGACATAATTAAGTATGTAGAGTATTGCAATATCTACATGCTAATTATTAGCTAATAGTAAGTTAAAAAGGCTGTTTTCCTGAAAAATTACTTTTGAATTCGCCCTTACCCATTATACAACCAATCATTCAAATAGCAAACCGATCATTGACTACCCGAATATACCTGAACGCTTCAACAACTAGTGTTAGTGCTTTCTTTTACGCTTAGTGTAGTTGCTTTTTAGTATTTATTGCTTGTTTATCTCATATAAAGACTAAAAGGTTGAGTTTATTAAATGTTTCGTTTGTTATCTTTATGTCACTTAATGGCAAAAGGTTGTGTAACTATTTATCGAAAAAAGACCTCTAAAAATTAAATCAGTGGATATATCAAACTTTCAAATTAATGATTTCAAAAATTATTGCATACATATTTTTAACAAAAGATGAGACAGTTTTAATTCAGATATTTATTTGTTGGCATATTTTCTTCACCCGAGTTATCGTGGTATGTTATATTTTTAGAGTTTAATAAATTATATATATTTTAGCTAATAAATTTTTTATTTTGAAAGGTGCTGGATTACATGAAAAGCAATTTCATAAAATTGCAACAACAGCAATCCAAATATGGAAATGTAGAGGATATAATTCAAATGAATATACAAACCTTATTGCCTATATGCAATTGTTTAGAGAAAAAAGATGGATTTGACTTGCCTTACAGTTTTGAAACAGATACCTCTTTGTTATGGTGAATGACCAATTATACTGGTTTCAAACAACTTGCAATCAAGATTTTTTTGATCACGCCACACTCTGCAAACTGTGAAAGAACATTTTCATCACTGGGCTGGACATATGGAAAATGGAGATGTCAACTTTCTTTATCACAAATTCAAGCAATGGTTCAAATTTGTTCTTTTTATATTTCGAATATAAAAAAAAAACTTGCATTTTTTGAAAAAATGGTATCAGCAAATAAATTACAAGCACAAGTAGCATTAGCAACTTTTTTAGTTAAAGAAGATAAACAAATGATTGAGGAACTTGACGTAGGAGAAGAAGTTAAATGTAACTTAGAAATCATTGAACGGTTTGATATTAAAAACATAGTATACCTAAATAATGAAATGTTTTGAGATGGTGATTCTAATAGCGATAGTGAAGATTTCCAAGATTATAGTACTAAAGAATATGGTGACAATAAATTTGACTTTGTGAGTTCGAAAGTAACAGCACAGGTATACTTGATTTTGATCTTGCTGAATTGGCAGAAAATTTAGTAAAAGAATGGAACTATAAAAACAATAATAATAGCGATTTAGACAAAACAGATTATGTAGATAAAAATAGTAAGAATATAAATGCTATGGAGAATATAAATAATGGGGATGAAGATATTAGTGAGAGTTCAAATATTATAGAGAATGAAAATGAGATTGTAAAATCTTTATCTATAGCACTTAGAAAAACATGTTGTAAAGGTTTAAAGAGATAATAATCATAGAATTCTTATTGTAACTCTTAGAAAACATGTAAAAGTTTAAAAAAGATAATAAATAAAGCAATATATTATCTTTTTATAGAGCAATTTTTTTATTTTATATATTAGTAATTTTGTCAACCATTTTGTCAATTGTCAACAGTTTCGTCAATTATCAATGATTTTGTCAATCGTCAAAGTTTCATCTGGCATATAATTTGACGAAACCTTTCATCAACTCAAAAATAATTTTGTCAAGCATCTTTAGCTACAATTTATTTCAGGTTTAATACAAAGTAATAGTATATCATATAATCAAAAAGCAAGGTAGCACATATTCACGCCACTAGCTCATTGTGCCGATCAAACAAGCCATGAGCCATAATAAGGAACTAATTGAAGTTTAAAAATCATATGCAAAAAATGCAATGGCATATGCTAATGGCACATGAATAAGCAAGATTCGAATAAATCAAAGTGCCAAAAAAAAGCTTATTTATAAACAGAGAAGAATACAAAGCACAGTGGTATCAGACTCGATCAAAAGATTCACTTGCAAATAAAAAAAAAAAAGAGAAATATCTAACAATCTTAAAAAATCACTAGTGAATATTGATTCACAATTACATCAATAATGCATGCCAGACAACGATATCAACACTTATTGACAAAGTAAAAGAACTGATAAACTAGCAAGCAAAGACCCAAAAACGATGGAATGAGCAACTACAAAACACTATTAATGATCACTTTGGCAAGCTAAAACAGGTTGGTCTTATTGACAGTCCAAATAGCCAATCTATTGAAAAAGAACAAAGCAACCGATTGACACTAGCAACTATATGCTTAACTTCAGAAATGAAAGATATCATAGTTCAAGATAATTATCAATCTACTCCAACACTTAACAACATAATAACCAACCCAACCCTGCCAGGAAATACTATGTGTATAAATAATGAATTATCAATAATGAAAAACAAAGTCCAGAAGTACTGCCAATAAACTATACAATACTTAAGCAGCTTCTAACAGTGCAAGGCTTTACAAACCCGTTGGCAGCTAGCATTGAAAGCAAAAGGCTGTGGTGGATATCTAATTGGCTCAAAGAGCAAAAAGTGATCAAGATATTGCCTTGCAAACCAAACTTAAAATCAAGGTTATAAAAACCAATAACACTAGGCTCTTACATCGACCTTCAGGACTTTGCTTACAAGAATATGAAAGCAAGTGCAAAGTTTAATCATGAGGAATTACCATTACAAGCAGCAAATAGTGGATATTTAACTATTTGAAAATAACCAACTTATAGCAGATTATTGATATATCTGAATGGTTACTAGCATTTAGAGCATATATCGAAGCTGTTTTGATAATTTATAATAAATGAGAACAAGAATTAAATCATTACCAGGATCATATTAATAGTCTGTGTACTAAATATGAATTTGTCACAGTTGTGACTTATGATAAAGATCATTGACTAGGGTTGGTTATAAACAGAAACACCACAATATTTGAGAGAAACATCGAAGCTGAAGGGGGATTTCGATGCAACAACCACTAAGAAGACAAAATTCAATAGGCCACGTGCACCCAGATTTAATGCAACATGATATGATGAAAGAGAAATTTGCATAAATTGGAATAGAAGAAATTGCAATGATGACAAAAAATGTGGGTGCATTCATGCATATCTGGCTTGCAAGAAGATAGGCCACCAAGAACATAGATGTTTTACAAACAACACAGGAGCCAGTTTAAGGAATAGGTCAAATGACAATACGGAGAGTTACAACAAATCGAAAAAAAAAATCATAAAAAAAAAAAACCTATTACAAACTGATTAGTATACACAAGTAAATATATATATACTATATATATATATATATATAAAAGTAGAAACTAATACATCAATTAGTGTTAAAAAAAAAAATTTTTATATATATATATTTTCTTTCATAACTACAGGCTAACAAGTACAGATTAAGCAGCTATAACTTTCAACATATAGCTCAGTACAAGCTATCACGTAACATGATGACACGTAATCCACCAATGCTTCAATCAGCAAATGAAATCTTAACCAGTGTCCCTCACGAATTATTCCTTTTACAACAGAGCAGATTCAAATATTACTGCAAATTGAATCAAGCAAATTTAATATAGAATTAGTAATAGATATTAGAGCATTCAGAGCACTAACAAATCAGCATCCAAATCACCCATTTATCGAATACTTGATAAAAGAAATCTCAAAAGGGTTTAGATTTAATTTTTCAGAAAAGCATATAAAAAGGGTTCAAGAAAATCTGAAATTAATTGAACCAAACACAATGGCCTTTAGAAAATATATCCAGGACAAAATAGAGAAAGGTCGTATGTGTAGACCATTCCCTAAAGATTAGCTACCATGTGATTTATTTCAAGTAAACCCCTGTGAACAAAAAGGGTACAAACCCCAAAACATTCTGAGTAATATCTCACCTATCAGCACCATTTGGCTCAAGCATTAACGATGGAATTGATCAAATAGAATTTATGACAAAATATGAAAATATATCTTATACAATAAGATAGATTAACTAATATAGGAAAGGATGTATATTGTCAAAGGTGGATATCAAAGATGTATACCATATATTACCAGTACATCTAGTAGACCAAGTCTTACAGGGTAGAAATAGGAATCAATTTAGTCGACTAAAAAATTGATATGTAAATTACTATGTTTAGTCAATTTAGTTGACTAAATCTTATAGCTGATTCCTATTCCTATTACAAAGAATGAAGCTTGGAGATAATATATACTTTGACAAGGCATTAGCCTTTGGTAACAGAGCCTCTGGAGATATCTTTTGTAGGTTTGTAGATGTAATCACAGGTTTATTCATTATGTTAATAATATCTAACACAAATAGTCAAAAAGAACTCTAACAATTTCTGCATATATTGAATATATTAAAAGTTTCTTTTAAAGAGTCTAAACTTGAAGGCCTTAGTACATGTATTACATTTTTAAGAATTACAATAAACATGGAAACAATATCTGTATTAGTTCCAATTACAAAAAGACAAAAAATAAAAAGGTTACTAGAAGACTGGGCTACCAAGTTACAAGAAAAAGCTCCAGTCCTTTGTTGGGTTTCTAATGTGGACGTGCTAGATGCTCCCCCAGGGGAGACCATTCATACAATGATTAATAAAAGCACAAGAAGCAGCAAAAAATCCAAAGTATCATATAAGAATAACCAAACTCATGGTCGCAGATATTCAATGGTAGAGCAACATAATAGAGACTTATTTAATGAAGGACCAAATATGGTGGCAACCAGATATATACAACCTTTACACAGACACATCTAATATTGGTGGTGGTGCAACCTTTGAAAACTACTTCACAGCATTTAAATGAACCAACCAGGACGTCATCACCAACTATGATATTCAAGAACAGGAGCTACTAACAACTTTTATAGCAATTCAAACATTCTTATCTCTGTGGACCAGAAAAAAGATGGTTATATAGACAGACAATATGGCCAATGTAGAGTCATACTACTCTGGGTTTTGCAAAAACCCAAGGATTAATTGCATTATTACATAAATATATAAAACCCAGATACAGAAAAATTTTTCACTATAAATAGAATACATACCAAGGAAACATAATACAGATGCTGACCTCTTATTACATAGTGGACACAAAAAATACATAGTGAAGAAACCTGCATCTTGATATCTTCAACCTGACATCTCTTCAGATCATGCTAACAAAATTTCTATTATTCTATTACTGCAATAGATTCATATTAGCTATCTCGAACAAGGAATGTTTAATACCAAACTACAGAATATTTTAATAGGAATACACCACTTGACCGACAAGCAGCGAACATATTAAACCTTGAACCTCCAAAGTACAAAATCTACAAAGCAATAATTAAAAGATACCAGATATTAGCCAACAAGCACCAGTGGAAAAATGAGGATAGAAGTGTGTGGCCTATATCTAAAGACTCTTTAACCAAGTTTATCAAATTGTTAAGAACGAGGTTTTTCCACCAACAATTACTTCTTATCTATCAGCTCTCAAATTTCACCATACAAGGAATTCATATAATTGGATGCCAGTACGGCATGATTCATTAATAAGGGAAATGCTCAAAACAATCGAAGCAAATCATAGGTACAAGCCTGTAAGACAGAAGATGCATATTACAAGAACACACTTACATGGCATAAGATGCAACTTAAATCTTGAGGATACTAATGATCTTCTTTTTTGGATAGTCGCATTAACAGCATTTTATGAAATAGCACAGCTTGGTAAGCTATTACCAGATGGGAAATCAGATGGAAACAAAGTTTCTCAGTTGAAGGCATTAAAGTTTGAAAACACCAATTATGCAACTTTTGCAATGATCCAACTTGCAAGAACCATAAACCACAAATCAGCAATCAGAATGACATTAGTAATTAACCCAACTAAAAACACACTATGCCCCATTAGACTACTTAAAGCATATATCATCCAGCGCACCAGCCCCACTTACACACCCGGCAACAAATTATTATTTGTGAAATCTGATAGAGTATATGCCACCAAACGTTGGTTTTGCAAGAAGCTTCAATCCATCTTACCAAATGCCGATGTTTCAGGACATAGTTTCAGAGCAGAATGCACCACTGAACTAGTCATAAGAGAAGTGCAGCCAATAATGATCTAGAAGATTGGCCAATGGAATTTAGATGCATTATATAGATACATCCATACACATCCTATTATAATTTCACAGATACTAATGAAAGTATATAACACATAGACTTTACAGAATAACATCTTTGAAACTGCTTCAGTTATACCGTTATATGCAAGAAAAAAAAAAAAGAGGTGTATGGAATAGTGTAACTAATAATGTCAATAAATATATTATCACTAATAAACTAGTAAATAAACAAATAACTGGGCAAACAATGTATGTGAAAAATAATAAATATAATGGCTACAACAGTAAAACAGGTAAAAAAAAAAAAAAGGGGGGAAGTAAGCATATAATGGTAATGAAGGTAACATGGGAGCGTGAAATGACAGAATCGGAGAACTTTGGATGACTACATGATTTTACTATTTCTCTGCTCTCTTATTTCACTATTTCTGTACTCATAGCCGGCTCACTTTGGCGAGCAGAAAACTACCAGCTGATAATTCCCACGGCAACTCCTAGCGCAACAACAGTTGCAAACTTCCCAGGATGTCATTGGCACTCAGGCCAATTTTGGCTGATTACTCACTTAATAGTTTTCATGTTATAGACATAATTTCTATTGCTTCAATAAAAATTTGCCTCTAGCCTAAAATAATCGCTGGCATAGCCCAATGTAAAATAATATATAATATGATGCTTTTCGTGTGAAGTGATAGTATATCACATGATCGAAAAGCGAGGTAGCATACATCTGAGCTACTAGCTCATTGTGTCAATCAGACAAGCTATGAGCCATAATAAGGAACTGATTAAAGTTTGAAAATCGTATGCAAAAAATGCAATAGCATATGCTAACAGCACATGAATAAGCAAGATTCGAACAAATCAAAAGAAGCTTATTTATAGACAGAGAAGAACACAAAGCACAGTAGTATCAGACCTGATCAAAAGATTCACTCGCAACCCACCCAGAACAGATGACTACATGATTCTACTATTTCTCTGCTCTCTTATTTCACTATTTCTGTACTCATAGCCGCCTCGCTTCAGTGAGCAGAAAACCACCGGCTGATAATTTCTGTGGTGACTCCCAGTGAAACAACAGTTGCAAACTTCCCAGGATGTCATTGCCGCTTAGGCCAATCTTGGGCGATCACTCACTTAATAGTCTTCATGTAATAGATATAATTTCTATTGCTTTAATAAAAAATTTGCCTCCAGCCTAAAATAATCGCCAGCATAGCCCAATGTAAAATAAATATGTAATATAATGCTTTTCATGCAAAATGATAGTATATCACATGATCGAAAAGCAAGATAGCACACATCCGTGCCACTAGCTCATTGTATCGATCAGACAAAACCTAAGCCCCAAAATGAAAAAACCTCTGGCGAAAGACGAAACCTCAATTTCTGCTAACGAAAGACGAAACCCAAATTCAAAATGATGAAACTCTAGTGCTACCACTAAAAAAAAACCTAGATGCTCCTGCTAATAAAATAAAATAAAATAAAATAAACGGATTGCTGAAACCTTATGATAATAGTAATTTCCTATTTCTCTCTCTAAAAAATTACTACAGAAAATTTGTTTTTGATGAAGTTATCAAAAAAAATAATAAATTATCTCTATAATTTTAGATTAATGCAGCTTTTTATTTATATTTAATACTGAAGATGTTTATTATTTAGGTTTTAAAAAGTCAATTACAATAATTATGAAAAGGTAAATAAGCAATTAGCATCTTAATTTATTATATTTAATGCTAAAAATGATTAATGATTATTGGCTTAACCTGGCTTGTATACTTAGGTTTTTAAAAAGCTAATTACAGAAATTATAAATAGCAAAAAAACCATTAACATCTCTCAATTATTATGTTTAATGCTAAAGATGTTTATTGTCTTAACCCGGCTTGTATGTTTAGGTTTTGAAAAGCCAATTACAGAAATTTTAAACAGCAAATAAGCCATTAGCATCTCTCACTCTTATTAATTTTAATTATTTGTACTAATTTATTAATAAAAAGTCTTTAGCCAATAACCGTAATAATACAGAAATATGCGGAATAATCCACGTATTTATTGTTAATTTTTTTAATTATGTGTAATGATGGGTGATGCAACGATTTTTCCATGATGCAAATAGTTTCGTCAATGGTTTCGTCAGATGCAACTTTGACGATTGATGTAACTATTGACGATTGATGCAACTAATAACGATTGACGCAACTATTGACGCAATTATTATGGTTACGGGTTAACTTCCCAAAATCAATTTTACTGAAATCCCATTTCACCAAAATCCATCCCAATTAACTAAGACATAATTCCGTAAATCTCATTTTACCGAAATATCATTTAATTAATTATATAATACATTCATCCAAGAAAAAGAACTTCGTACGTACATACGTACGTACGTATAATTTTTACAATTCTCGTGATCTAGTAATCGGATCTGCAGCAGCAGGCCTACTGAATAGTTGATTTAGGAACAATTAATTGCAATTTTGGGTTTACTATTCCCCAAGTTCCTATTGGCTAAATACAAATTTTGTCTCTCATTAAATGAAATAAATTACTGATTGGATGGCTTAAAAATGCAAAAAAAAGTGTCGATTCAAATAATTGATTTGTAATTGTTATTTCCGTAAAAGTTAAATATTTATTTAAATATTTCTTATTACTCATTAATA